AAAGCATATTCCCACTCCATATTATACCAGTAGACTTCTGATGCCATTATCTTATCCCATGTTTATTAACTATGCTTCTGGGCTAAGGCAGCTAGGAGGAATATGTATCGTAATGAACACTACAAACCCTTGGCATTTGTGGATTTTTACAATTACAATTTTACCTAGTTCAAGGAATCTAAGACATGAAGTACTTCATTTTTTGCCAAGTGCATTTGAACAATGACCTACCTAAGACTGGTATAAGAAAGAAGCTGATGGCTGGGAATGTGCCTGGCATGCGCGGGGCGCTGGGTTCGATCCTCAGCACCACATAAAAATAAAGATGTTGTGTCCACCGAAAACTGAAAAATAAATACTAAAAAACAGGGAGGGAGGGAGGGAGGGAGGAAGGAAGGGGAGAGAAAGGAGGGGAGAGAAGAGAAGAGAGAAGCGAAGCTGATGGCCCTGCATCCCATCTTAACATAGCTTGGTGATTCTCTAGCATTCTATGGAAATATTCACTAACTTGATATTCTTTAAAAACATCAAGAGATAAGTCATACATAAATGCCTGCTGTATGTCTTAATTCCATTAATTCCATTAACAGAAACATTTAATCACAAAAATCCTAAACTGGAAACGAAATCACTAATTTATACGGCTAAAGTTAAAAAAAAAATTATTAAGAAGTAAGAATTACAGAATAAGCTTAAAAGACATGAGAAGCAGCTAATCATGATGCTTCTTGTATGTCACACAAGCTAAACACAGCATGAAGTTTAACCAAAAGCTTTTTAAAAATGCATCTGTGCCCATATTCTCTGCCTTCTTCCTTTTAAAGATAAATCATCCTTTCTCCTGTTTAAGGATAAACCATTTCCTTTATGAGGCAGTCTAACATTGTACACATTACTTTAATAATCTTCCACTTTTTTTGCATAATCACTCTTAAAAATAAGCCTCGCTTGACCCTAACTTTCCCCTTCATCTGCCATATGTGTTTCTCTTCTGTCGGTCACCTGAATGCCTTCACCTTTTGTTCTCTACGAAGCTGTTCTTCTAAAAGTCATCAATAACTCCCCATTAGAAAATTCAACAGAATTCACAAGTCCAACTTCAGTGACCAGTAGAATTTACCATAAATAATCACTTCTCCTTCCTTGAAGTACTTACATCCCTTTCAGATATTCAGAGACATGGGAGTTTTTCTCTCACCTCACTGGGTTTTCCATTCCTAACCTCCTTCACACTCCCTCTCTTAATCCTTTTACTTAAGGTTCCCCAAGGATAGGACATAGTAGTTATATCTACCAGACTGTATTTAAAAGTTAACTTTTATACAATCTACAACTGACAATTTTTCCTTCATCCAAAACATCTCCCTTACCCATTTACCCTGTCCAAACTTTGAACTCTCCCTGAACCCAGGTCAGCGTCTCCTTAACCTCTCCACTCTAATATACAATTTTGCATGTTCAAAATCAACCTTCTGACCTTCTCCCAACTGTATTCCTTTTATAATCTTCCCCTTCTTCATTAAATGAAAGTTTCTCTCCTGTTACTCAAACCAAAAACACTAAATTCATTCTCCACTTATTGCTTTCTCTTAACTCAAATCCAACAAATCAGCAAACCCTGTTGTTCAAATGACAGTTTTCTCTCACTTCTAATGTTCTACGTGGTGTCTCTGCATCTGCCCTTGCTACCTTAAAATCTGTTCTCAAACTGGCAATCAATAATAATTCTTTTAAACTACAATACTACTAAGGAAACTCCAATAGCTCTCTATCTCATTCAGAATAAAAGCCAAATGCAGGCATTTAAAAGATATAAATTCCGAGTTACTTTCTTAATTTAATATCCATTAGTAGAGAGTAACTGCAGTAACTGACCTTTAGGCTTTCCTTGAACAATTCAGCAATATTTTTGCCTCACAGCCTTTGTATATCTTATTCTCTGTGCATAGACACTCATTCCCTCATGTTCTCCAGGTCTTTAATGTTCCCTTCTCAATGAGGCTTTCCGTGTACATGCTACTTTAAAATCTCTACCCCTCTCCCTATATTATAAACTCCCTAGGTCCCACTTCTTGTATTATTCTCCATCATAGAATCACTATCTAACCTACTACACATTTACTTATCTAGCTACCTGTCAACCTCTCTGCCCTCAAACATAACCTTAATCAAGTTAAGGATTTTTGTCTATTTTGTTTTCACTGTGACAGATTCTGTAACAGTCTTCAAGGGGTTCAGACTGATTTCAAATTTCTCCTTAGGAATAATAGGATAGCAGAAAAGGTTTTGGGAGTAAAGCCCTCAATGTTCTGAGGAAAATTATTTTAAGCTTAAATATTGAACTAAATCATCAATCAACTGAGAGAATAAATAAGTACATTTTCTAATATGCACAACTCAAAAAATTCATCTTCCACTAAACCTTTCTAAAATTTTATTTAAGTGAATCTAAGAATGAGGATGGCAATGGGATAAAAGAAACAATAACTAACACAGTAATACAATAAAAGAAATCTGAGAATGGCACTTCATTGAAAGGCCAAGGAAACTCGAGATTACTTAAAAAACAGTGTAGCCAACAAAATGTCATTTTGTGATTTAGGAGCCTGAAAGGACAACTGTGAAATGCTATCAATAAAAATAGAAGTATATCTCTCTTGTGAGCAATAAATGAAAATAATGGCAGTTTAAAAGTCTAATAAAAACAAACAAAAACTATATGCAAGGCAAACCATGGTACAAACGTGAAGCATAATGTAGTATAATTTTAAGCCAATGAAAAAAGTTTAAAAATCTTCAATTCTGAGGGGAAAAAAATGTCCACTGGTCAGCTAGCTCTGAAGAAAAAACAGAACTAAGTGATATTCTGGATTGATACATAATTGCTATATGAGGAAAACAATCACTATGTAAGAAATAACAATTACATATAATAAAATAATAAAAGTAGAATCATTTCTCTATAATGTTCTTAGCTGAAAGTCATTTATTACTATCATAAGGTATTCTGACAATCAAAAAATGGGGGGAAAAAAGTGTTGACAAAATATGGAGAACCTGCAGCCCTCATACATTGTTAATGTGAATATAAAATAGTGCAGCCACTATATAAAATAGTCTTGATAACTCCTCAAAAAGTTATACACAATATTAAAATATGACTGAGCAATTCTATTCATAGGTATATACCCAAAAGAACTGAGACAGATATTCAAATAGGTACATGTGTACACATGTTAATAGCAGCACTAACTCACAATAGTTGAAAAATAAACTGAATAAACAAACTGAAGTATATACATACAATGGAGTATTAGTATTCAGCTAAGAAAAATAATTCAGTACCAGTAAGTGCTACAACATGGATAAAAAAAATGAAAATATTATGCTAAGTGAAAGAAGCCAAACACAAAATGCCACATATGATTACATTCATATGAAATATGCAGTAAAGCTACACCATGGAGACAGAATACAGACTAATAGATACCACAAGTGTAAGTAAGGCAGACTTTATAAAGAGAAACTGCTTATTGAGTATTTTACCTTGATGTTATATAAATGTTTTTGGAACTAGATAGAGGTAGTAAGTAGTAAAATATTGTGAATGTATTAAATGCCAGGGAACTAGTTACTTTAAAGGTTGATTTTTATATTTTATAAATTTGAACAAACTATCTTAGAATAAAAAGATATTCTGCTTTTAATTCACCCTTTTCTAGTCTCATATTTGCAAAGTACTAAGAAGATTTCCATAATTTTCTTTCAAAGACTCTTGGAAACTAACATTTATGATTTTGGGGAAAAAAAACATTTATTTGGAATTCACTAATCATTTAGGCTTCATTTCAGTTTCTTTTGTTAAATTCAAGTAAAAATAATAGATTTTATTTTCAAAGCATTACATTAGTTCATCTCTATATATTAGGATTAGGGATAATTTTTGTCTTACTTCTAACATTTCAATATTTACCAAATTTTTTAACATAAAATATTACTTTTATAATCAGAAAAAAATGCAATTTATTAAAAGGATAAAACATGAGTGAGTACTTAGAAGAGACTATTGGGGAAAAGATCTGGGTTATCCAATGATGATACACAGAACTTACAAAGATAACAATGTTTCAGACCAAGAATGATTTGAAGGTATCAGAATACACATCCAATTAATGCAGATAAAAGGAAAAGAATACAGAAATATGTACCTTACCATAAAGGCTTGATTGTATCCACAGACTTATTCTCCTTTAAAATTCTGAGATATCACTATTTGTGTCTGTGCTCCCCCTACACTCAAACCCCAATAAGGGCTCTAGCCTTCCTCAATAGTTACCCTTCCATCAAGTCACTTGATAGCTTATAGAGAATGGGGACAGTGAAGAGAAGACAGACAAGAAAAAGCAGCTTGGCTGAGGCAGAAAAACTGTCTCATTCCCCTTACTTTTCCAGCAAGTCAGTCATGAACAAACTTACGAGTAATCTAAAGCAGGATTTTTGAAATTGTAAACTCGACATATTATTAAATAGGAAAATAAATTTAGTTATTGGCTTTAGCATGTATTACATGAAATATAAAAGAACAAGAGCACAAAGTACATCCTATGTAATTAGTATAAAAATTGCTTCAACTTTTTTTCAGTTTCATTTATACCTATAGGAACTGGCTTACAAATGTAAAATTTTTCTTATTATTGGCTATGGTAGGAAAAAATTGTGAACATGACCTGAGAAATTTTCAACTCTACATTTATCCTAATTTCCTATTCCTCTAAAAAAAATTAAGTGGAGGCTTAAAGGATATGAAAATATTTGGGAAAAAAAATATCTATGGATAGAAAAAGTACAGCCCTGAAAATTGCTAAGACTGCTGGTGAGAAATGTTTCTTAAAGCTTCCACCACATATTTCATGGACAAAAAAATCTATACAATTACTATGGTAAAGGGTATTCACAGTATTCAATGTTTAAATGTATATTATGAATAAATAGATGCTTACCTTTCAGAAGAACTTTACTAATCCACAAATCTGTTTGATACTTGAAAATGCATGTTTTTGTTATGGTTCAAAGATGACACCAGCTCAATACAACAGATTTCACCAAATAGAAGTCTTGACTGGTAAACAGGAATTGAAGAGGAATCAAGATCTAGAGACCAACTGACTTCTCCCTCGACTGTTGGAAAAACATCTACCTAAAAAATAAATAAATAAAATAACTTCAATACTCCAATTCCAGTAGCAAACTAAAATGTTCCTATTCCAGTAGGGAACCCTAAACTAAACCAAACAATGCAAAATGGCAGGCCAAACAAAAATTCATGTCAAAGTATTTTAGTCTCCTGGAGGACAAACATTACTCTACTCACTAATCACTTTCCATTATCTATTTTAACTCCAGGAGGAAAGTATCATTTTATAATACCAATAATAAAAGACATCTCTCTCTCTCTCTCTCTCTCTCTCTCTCTCTCTCTCTCACACACACACACACACACACACACACACAGAGTCAGACCTCACTATAAAACAAATCACTTGTTATAACTTCATTTAACTTTCTCCTGAAATGACATACGAATCTCCTCTTCTAACAGTAAAATAATATATTTTAAAATGATATAAAAATGGAAATTTGACATTTTGAAAACATGTAAAAATTCCATTAAAAATGGATTTCAAAGCATTAATAAAATATAAAATTAGAGTATGATTACATCTGTGATGACAAGTGAATATTATTTGTGAGTGGAAAATTAATTTACATAGCTTTTTCCTAGAGCAAAAGAAAAAACACATTACTTCATTTAGTAATGTATTTCCATAAATCATATGATGTAATCATATTTCTATACAAAATCCAAAATAACAACTAAAGTTCTTAAATAGACTATCCAATTTAAGTAAAAACCTTGTAATATAATAAATTACTAAACATATTATCATCCACCTCTAGATTTCATTTTTAGTTTATTAACATTCAACAACCTGTTAAGAAGTATTGGTGGCACACTATATGTGCAAAAATATAGCAGCCTTCAGGTAATATGATGTAAAATGTCAGTGGCAGACAACTAAAAAATATGATAGCAAATCGACCTTAAAATTACTGAGAGTTGAAAGGAATTAATTAGATCAAACACATTTTAGTATCTTGTGCTCCTTAAACCAAATAACAGAAGTAACCCACTGGAAAAAGGATTTCCAGAAACTGTCTTATGGCATTTTAGATATTTCTGTTTTATTAAATATAATTCATGTTTCATCTGTGTTTGTATTCTTGTTTGCAATAATTTATTATATTAAAATGCAGAACTTCTGGGCTCAGGATGTGGCTCAGCGGTAGAGCGCTTGCCTAGCACACACGATGTCCTAGGTTCGATTCTCAGTGCCACATAAAAATGAATAAAGTATTGTGTTCAACTACAACTAAAAAATAAATATTTTTTAAAAATGCAGAACTTCCTATTTATTTATATAATTAATTGGTGCTGGAAATTGAATCCAGGGGTGCTCTTCTTATTTTGACATGATTTTGGCATGATATAGCCCTAGCTCTTATTTTTTTATTTTTGAGACAGTCTCAGTAAAATTGCCCAGGTAGCCCTGAACTTTTGATACTCCTCTCTCAGCCTTCTGAGTAGCTGGGATTATAGGTGTGCACCAACACCTGGCTTAGCATTTCCTTATTTTAAACTTTCAATCTTATCTGAAAAGTTTCAAATGATACTCTTCTAAATTATAATATACATACAGAGAATATCTTAATGTTGTCACTGGATCTTTGCACAGCAATATATTCACATAACTTTTCTTCTATGGTTGAACCAAAAATTTCTGACCATTAAAATAAAATGTGTCTTTCTCATCTTTGCTTTGTAAAAACAGACCATTTTTGTCTCTTTAGAGTGAAAGTATTCAAATATCATTCGACTACTTTAACATTATCTGTTTTATGATTAACGTGTATTTAAGTAACACTGAATATATATTGTCATACCACTGTTTTACCATTATTTAAAGAATGATGGCTATTTACCTCAAGAGGTATGACTATAACCAAAAGAAAAAGTGACACTACAATCAATGTCCTGAGTAATTGTAATTTATTTTATTTCTAAATACATACTTTAAACCAATTAGGGGCCAACTTTCCATTTCTTACAATGCTAGGGTCATTAATTACCCTTATTTTGACATAATATATTGAATATATCATGCCAAATATATTGAATGTATCATGTCAAATTGATATACAGTGAAGGAAACCAAGATAGGAGAAAAAGAGAGGGCATTATAGGCAAAATTAGGAAACACATATGATCCCCTGTACACTCAGTAAGACCACAGCAAACAACTACACTTCCTCAGCAATTCATATGCAGAACTATTTACCAGGCTCTCCATGAAGACTATACTGGCTCTTTTTCTAGTTATTCTCTTAGGAATGACATAAATATTGAGAAATCTAGAAATAGATATACACATGCACATATAAAAAATTATTGTCAGTATGTAAGTTACTGCTGCCCTGGGACTGCAATAATTTATGTAACATCTGTTTTCATATTTTTCTAATTTTTTCCCTAATTAGCATGCATATTTAACGCATAAATGCTCAGACCACCTTTTTTCTGCTGACTGTGCCCATTTTTCCCCCTGAAGTTGTGTACTCCTAGGTAGAATTTAGAATAGATGGAAACCAAAAGTTTATTGAAAGTACTAATTTTAAAATGTAAACAGTACTAAACTAATTTTCAAGAGAACACTGAAGTCTTAGGAGTTTTCACAAGTACATGTCAATCTGTCAGCAATAGTCATGTACTAAATAAAGGCCCAAATGAAACAAAAACAAATAAACAAAAAACCTACATAAAAGCAAAATTCCAATATTGTCTTAACTTTGAATTCTAACTTTCCTAAGAACTAAGAAACTTATTAAAATAGCTATGATTTCTTGTCTCGACAGGGTTGGTACAATTTTTAAATGTTTATGCCTCAAACAACTAAAATAAATGGACAAATCCCACATAGTAAATATGAAGATGTGTGTGACCAACCATCTCCTTTTTAAATTGTAAACCTCAAATACAATGCAGATTCAACAAAAGGACAAAGTTTTAGTCTAAAGCTTATGAAAGTTCAATCCAAGTTCTGGAAAGCTCTTAAATCAAAATATTACTTATATTCACTTTTAATAGAAAAAGTAAAACTAAAGGCAGATCAAATCAATGCAACCACAACTTAAGTATTCTCAAATGACAATGCTTAGGATGACAACAATGTAGCCCTATCTGAACTTTACTCCAGAATTAATCACTTTGTATATTAATTGCTTATTTATAGACTTTAGTCAGTCATGTGCTATTTGTCATCTACTGTCAAGACTATTCTGGGTCTTTGTAAACAGTAAAATTGGGTTAGCCTTCAAGGAGCTTACATTTTTACTTGGGAAAACAGCACATAATTATGCAAATGCATAACTGAGATTTTTATACCAGGAAACGGGATTTAGTTCAGAGATCAGCAAAGGCCTAAGAAACAGTTTTAAGATGAGGTCTTAGTGTTATAGGATGTATACCAACCTAGGGCACAGCGAGTGCAAAGGTCCAAAAATAAGTAAGACCAGCACATTTTATGTCAAGAAAGACCAGTTGCAACTGGAAAGGGAACATATGAGAACCAAAATGAGGCAGAAAAAGTAAGCAAAGACACTAAAGGGTTTAAAATAAGTTATGACAGTCAACTCTACTTTGAAAAATACCACATTTGGCTAACTCACAGTGAGGGCCAAAAGGTGGCAGGGGAAGAGTCAAATGTGAGATAAGAATAACCTAAACAAAGGTGATAGAGAAGGCAGAAGAGACTTTTGTGATTACAATCAGCTGATCTTGGTGGGAGATTAGATTATGTAGAGGATGAGTATGGCTAGCAATTCCTTTCACTGATGTACTGAACTCTGAAAGAAGATAAGGCACAGAGGGAAAGAGCTTAAATTTAGATTTAGGCATGTTAAACAGCTTACCTGTTGCTGATGTCTCATAGGCATTTCAATTTAAATGTCTGCAGTTATAAGAAATGTCTGGGCTAGGATCAAATTTAGAATTTGCCAGAATATGAGCATTTATAAAAAATGAAAACCTATATTCTTTTCCCATCAGAAAAAATCTTCAAAAATCCAATGCCTTCCTAGTTTTTAGCTATTACACTATATCAGAATAGGGAAGTATTTCATATCTTGACAAACTCATTTAGGCTATTATTGGTTAATCCACACAGCATAGTTGTATTTTATGTCTTATTTTGAACTGCTTAATAGTAGTTATCATTTAAGGAAATTATTTACTTTGAAATAGAATTGCATTTAGTACTCTAAAAATATACATTAAAAGTCATTAATCCTCACAATAATCTTAATTATCACATCCACTTTTCAGATGAGGACAGTCAAGTTTAGGGAAGTGTAAAGTTACTAGTAAGTCACTAAATGATAAAGCTTCCAACTCAGGTTATCCGAACTCATGGTCCATGCCATGTCCACCTAAAATAAAGGGTAGTATGTGTAGTATCAAGAGTCTTGAACTGTAAAAATAGATCAATTTCAGTTACAATCCTGACCACAGAACACCACGTAAGTACTCTGATCTATGTTTCCTCACCTGAAATTCTTAGTAAAACCTACTGACATTTTAGGAAATGTAAGTCAAACATCTGAACTGACATACCCATACCATCACATGTTCCTCCTACCAACGGGGTGAGAGGTGCCAATGGAGGGAGGACTTAGAGGCTATTCACTGATCTTATTGTCCTTCAACTAACAAACACTGACCATGAAAGCTTTGAAAACTAAACAGCATGTGGAATGGCAGGCAGGTCATTGGGAACAGCTAATCAGTTCTCCTCTGCTCTTCTCCCAAGTGGCAAAAAACAACATCCATCAGAAAAGACAGAAGACAAAATTCTAAAAACTGCCAGTGAAGAATTCAGCAGTGCTTCAAAACCTTTAGTGTGCATAAAAACCATCTAAGAAGCTTATCAAAGTGGTGATTCAGAAACAGACTGACAGGACAGATAGATGTGAATGGTGGGAACATAAAGTTAAGGGAATAATTCTACCAACTGGGTCCACTATGCTGACCCCTGCATGCTTCTTTTCCAAGAAGCAATTTACCTGCAGCCCTCCCTCACTAAA